CACTTTCATAACAATGGTATATTGCCGTGAACTATGGTTGTAAATATTTATAAAGGATGTCTGCATAGATAAATATTATTGTTTAGGTTAACAACAAAAGCAGCCCGAGTGTGTCACATCAGCTCAGCTTACATAACATACATGATTCACTGCATTAAACCTCTGAACTCAACCAGGTTCATGAGGATTTTAAGACTTTTAGCAACAAAATGCTCATAAAAAATGTGATTTAAATGATGGAGGATGATCAGCAGCTTGCGTTTTAAAACCTAGTGGGCTGCCTAACTAGACCACATCATTGTTTCATTTTAGGTACTTAAGGAATACCATGGTATTAAAATAATGGGCGTGTCTAAAACACCGGCACTAGTATGATTTTCCATGATATATTTATATAGTAATGGTGAATGTGCTGTTGGCGACCAGAATACAATCTAGATCAGAGGCTTGCTGTATTCTGAAACTGTCTATAATGCTCAAATATGTTGCGTGAATGGCTGATTCCCGCCCAAACCCCCCGCAAGAGCTTATGATGCTCGAATATGCTGTCTAGATAGGTAGCTCACTAGGTTTTGGGACACAGCCCATACAGTGCAGTTTACGGGTTATACGTGTGTAACGTTAAATACAGAATTACAAAACATAAGCACTAACCTTAATTGTCCACTCGAAGTCCTCCTGAGCCAGAACAGCCAAAGCAGAGCCTTTTGCTTGAGAGAACGAGGTAAAATGTGAATTGTTTAGATTGCGTCGTCTGAGGAGAATCCGTCTGTCAGTCCATCAGTAAATGGGTTAAAACTTCTCGGACGTGTTTTGGCGCAGATTGACAGGTGGGGATCTTAAACGTTTTAACTGAGAACCATAAACGAGTTTTGATGCAATATAAAAGCCCTGAATTGCGATACAGCCGCACGTATTCTTCGCTCGTCTGTCTTCCTCCCTCTGAGAGACTGTTTATCTGCGACCGTTGAGTTCTGCCTGCCGCGCTCGAGGGATCGACGTTCGATTGGGCTGATAATAAAAAGCCCGCGAAAGCAGCAGGTCTAGGATCAGTTCTCTGAGATGGAAC